AGTATTTTCATATTTGAAGAAGCACTTTGACACCTAAAGATACAAGCAGGGTGCCTAATGTAAATACAGTACCTAATGACTAAAGATAAATGTCTAAGTTCTATGAGGATCTCAAATCACGACCAAATTCTGGTCTTAGTATATATATGTTTGTTGCAAAGAGGAACAAAATCTCAGGAGCTATACCCAGACAACTGTTTACTCATCTCAAAGAGGACTTTGGAGAACTGCTCTGCACCAGTCCATTGATTTTCAGAATTCTCTAAAGTATTAAACAAATAACAAATAAATATGAAGACAAGGAAGATTGCTTGCTGACTTTGCTTCTTTTTCTAGTGATTTATAGACCACTTCTGCAAAGCTAGTCCCGTCAAAGTTCCTCAAATACTAATACAAAATCAATTCCTCTTATCAGAGTATCCCCAACTCAGTGTCACACACAGTTTTTTATACTATGTTATGTAAATCAGCATTGCTGTCAGCTCCATCTGTGACTGTTGCCTCTTAAGTGAGTTACTCCAGTTGAGATGAAGCAGCTCCACTAAGAGAAGTCTAAAAGATGTCATAGGATTGCTTCAATCCCAACATCATTTTGTTTTATTGTAATAGTGTTTCTGCATCAACACACATAACTAAAGATACTGTACCATGCATACCATTAAACAGGATTACACTTTGGACATTCCCCATATTTCTCAGTTCATAATATACTACTAGTGTTCATATGAATGTCATTACAGGACTCTTTGTAATACTTTAGAATTTTTTTTTAAAGTTGTAAATACACCAGAGCAGGGAGATAGAAGGGCTGACTTCTTTATAAAGAGCTATGGTAGAAATTTTTGAAGATAACTATAAAATTGACAGTTGTCAACTGTGTTGTGGGGTTCTGCTTGTCAGTTGTGTTGTCACTTTTCCACAGCAAGGGGAAAAAAATCCTTGACATGACTTTACTTTCCCTTTTAAATGTATGTAAAGAGGAGAAGCACTGTACCATATTAATGGAGCTAGAATGGAAACACAGTGTTTTTCATAACCGCCTGTTTATGTGAGAGCAATTGTGCTATTTGCTTTCCTTTTCTTTTGTTGTCCAAAATCTAGTAAAGACAACATAATGGCGTCTGAATAAAGAAACTTACAAAGTAAGCTGATTTTCAGGAAAAATATCCTCATATCTAGCAACAACTATAAACCTAAAAGCGTTATTTCATTATCTATTCCATGTTTCAAATTTCAGAATTTTTTATTATTCATTCATTCAAAAAAGAAAAAATATTATAAGTAGAGAGAGTTTCTATTATTTTTAATCCATTTTAATAATACTTTAATTTCATCCTGAAAAAAAAAGAATTAAGAAAAAATATGGTAATTTTTTTTACTCCCAAATCATGCATGATTGTTACTTTAATTTTGAAAAATAATACTCATAATTTTAATTTTTATGCTAGCATTCATATATAATTTTAAAAGTTTGCTTTAAATTAATATTTAAATAGTTATTTATTATAAATTTAGATTTATATGGTTATTTTAATAAAGGCTGTCAGCTGCCTTTAGTTTGCTTTGCTTTTACAGATAAGGAAGAGAAATAAGTGCAGTAAACTATATTAGGGCTTAAGTTTTAGGAGGTAACACCTCACCACTGGCTGATGTTCAGGGAAATGCCCAAAGGGGTACATAGAATCACAGAATCATTAGGTTGGAAGAGACCTCCAAGAACACTGAGTCCAACCCATGCCCTAAAATCCCAAGTAAACATGGCACCAAGTGTCACATCCAACCTTTTTTTAAACACATCCAGGGATGGTGACTCCACTATCTCCCCAGGCAGACCATTCCAGTACTTTATAATTCTTTCCACAAAATACTTTTTCCTGGTATCCAACCTGTATTTTCCTTGGCCCAGCTTATGACTGTGTCCTCTGGTTTTGTCAGTGGCTGATTGGAGAAAGAGACCAACCCCCACCAGGCTACAGTCACCTTTCAGGAAGTTTCAGAGAGTGATAAGGTCATCCCTGAGTCTCCTTTTCTCCAGGTTAAACACCCCCAGCTCCCTCAGTTGTTCCTCACAGGGTTTGTGTTCCCAGACCCTCACCAGCCTCGTTGCCTCCTCTGGATGTGCTCAAGCCTCTCAATGTCCTTCCCAAACCGAGGGCCCAGAGCTGGACACAGCACTCAAGGTGAGACCTCACCAGTGCTGAGTACAGGGGCAGAATGACCTCCCTGCTCCTGCTGGGCACACTGTTCCTGATGCAGGCCAGGCTGCCCTTGGCCTTCTTGGCCCCCAGGGCACACTGCTGGCTCATGTTCAGCCAGCTCTTGACCAGCACCCCCAGGTCCCTTTCTGCCTGGGCACTGTCCAGCCACACCGTCCCCAGCCTGTAATGTTGCAGGGGTTTTGTGGCCAAAATGCAGGACTCATTAAACATCATACTTGACCCTTGAAGGCAGCGTGGTGTGTGATGCGATGTCATCTTTTTGTCTGGGGCTCAGAAACCCTTTGATGAAGCTATCAAAGCTTTTTGGATACTGATAAGGCTGGAATTGCTGGCTTTTGCCATTGCTCCATACAACCAGAGTGGTCCTGCTGGGTGTCTGTGACCAGGTGCCCTCAGTCTCCCTTGCTCAATGACCTTGCACACCTGAGCCCAGCTGCAGGGCAGCACACTGCCAGACACACTGCTGGTCACACAGAGTGACAGGGGTCAGTGCAGCCTCCAGAGAGAGGTGACACTCCACTGATGCTGCACTTCCTAGATGTGCCCACGCGCCTCCTGGATTGTGACAGACAGGCTTGGCCTTTCCATTACATGTCATGCGCTGACCAAGCAACCCACACACTAAACGTGTTGGTCAAGCCAAGAGGAACAAAGGTCCATGTTCCCACATGACACACATAACATTCCAGCCTGAGAGGTGATGATCTTGGCTGCAGGGTCACTGTGCAGTGCCCACCAAACTTGGTAGATAAGCAGAATTCTGCACTTCACTCACTGTCTGCCATTTCCTCTATGGGAGAAATGCAATTGTAACCTCTTGCTGGTGGCACATCTGCACACTACTGCTATAATTTTCCCTCTCATAAGGCATGTTGTGATATGGATTTACAGTTGAATTTCTGTTTGTTTTGATGCATTTTGTTTTCAGTTTTTTTATGGATTTCTCTGGGCAGAAAAAAAATCACAACTGTTTAATTGATCTTCTTTTATGGAAGCTATATACGCTACATTTGTTTTAATTTGAACATACACATCAGTGCTTTCTATCTGAGATTGTTAGAGATTTTGGCTATACCTAATTAACAAGCTTTCAAGAGACCTCTATATCAGTCCTAAATGCAGCCAGCCAAGCATTGTGAATTTTTTTTGTAGTTGGGCCTCTGTGGCCCAAAGCTTACTGATAACTTGTGAGAAGCATCTTTGTAACCTGTCATCTCTTTAATGTCTCCAAATTTCCCTATGAATAGTAAATCACTCGAATGCAGTCTGAGGAACCAAGTATAAATGTAAAATAGATACAGTGTGCAGAGAAGCTATGGATTCTAGGTGTGTTGGTCTGAAACTCCTACGTCACTGGATTTTACAGTGGATAAGGTATCTGCTTGAGGACCCGAGACATACTTCATCCACAGCAGGGGCAGTAAAGACCAACTTCAATGGTTCTTACCCTGGTGGAACAGTCTGAGGACAAGACAATCAGTGCAAGATGGGAAACCAGTATGTCCTTGGGATAAGAGGCAGATTCAGAAAGAGACTGATGGGTGCTACTGTCCTGGAAAAGCGCCAAAATCTGAGACATCTGGGAAGAGAAAAGTACCAGAATGTACTCTATTTAAATATAAGATTTATTGAGAAAGAAGTTCACCTAAAGTTTGAAAAAGACATAATGGCCAGTAGAAAGGTCTTGGAAATACAGGAGGACACCATCCACTTACCAAAAGAATTCCAATATTATGAGTTATGGTCTATCAGCTTATGTTTGGAGTTTCTGAGCTTATCAGAAACACCTCAGTAGGAATTGGTCAGAGAAAGCTGCAGAACCCATAAATCTCTCAAGAAAGAAGTGGGACACAAAACCATATGTAGAGAGTTGAGCTGTGTTTCTGATCATTGTTTCAAGGGACCTTCTGGCTGTGCAATGGTAGATTAAAATGAAGCTGGCTTTTGGCTCCTCCAGTCTGTCACTCTGGGAAGTATACATCAAATGCCAATATCTAATTCAAAATCCTATTCCTGTTTTTCTTGATCCAAGAAAATTTTCGGTTCTGAATTGTTCATTTAGTGTTGTTTTTAAGCAATGAGGTTTTAGGACATACTTTAGTGAAACAATAGATTTTGTTCTTAACTAAAATAAGGATACATTTTTACACATTCACCTGTAGACAACCCTTAAGGTAGTCTAGTGCCCTGAACACATTGTTATGTTGAACTCATAAAAGTCATGAATTTTAAAAATGCTATGCATCCTTATTATTCATGTAAGCTCAGACCCAGATTTACCATATATAGAAAGCTTGAAGTATTTAAAGCTGTTGAGATTCAATAGATCCCAAGGGTAAAAAATAAAGGCACTACTGTTAAACTATAATGACTCTTTCAATTTCTTATATTTTTTCTAAATTATCATTTGTGGGAATTAACACTATAAAACAAAAAAAAAAACTTTTCTAGCAGTTACAAAAAGCCATTTATTGTTTGTATAGCTACAGATATAACTGCATTTGGGTTAAAGAAATTCAGGTCTTTTGCATTGTGCATTCCTGCAGGGTTTTTTTTTTTTTTTAAGTATTTGAAGGGAAAAATCATCTCAATGTGTTTTACCAGTTACGCACACTATGGCTATTTTCTATCGATGGAAAATTTTAAAAGATAACTTCTAAAAAGCAAGTTATGGAAAAATTCCTTTTAAAACTTACCTTTCAAAAATGGTGACTTCATGGATTAAAAAAGACAAAGGAACACTTTTCCTTGAATCCTATTTTTATTTTGAATTTTGCCTTTATAATAAATAATATGCTCATTTATATTTCAAGTTAAAACAGTAGTCCTATGTAAGAAAAAGCGTGCATTTCAGTTTGTAACTCAATATAACACTTTAAACTGATTTTTTTTTGATGATATATTTTTGTTGCATAAGGTAATGTAAAAATGGCATAAAATTTCCCTTTATTTTTATTTAAAATATTTACAGCATTCCATACATATATTAGCTACTATATAAGAGTTTACTACTGAATGGATTTATTAAATAGCTAGCTGGATACATAATTAATATCTCAAGGTCCCTTTTTAAGCTTGAGTATAGCAGCCAATGAGAAGTGACGTGGCTGCTTTGGGATGAGCAAAGCTTTTAAATGTTACCCTTCAACCCACACAGCGGTCTCCCTTTCTTCACAGAACTGTGTTCTCGTCCATGATTTTAAGGGCCTTTGTAAATGGTGTAAGCAGCAGGACCTTTGGTTCAGCAGCAGCGATTTTTTACAGTTAAATGTGTAATTCTCCAAACGGAAGGACAGACGCTTTGGAGACATCATTATTCTTCACCTATCTGTCAGAAACTACAGAGGATCTAGCTGGTTCAGTTGCAGCCCTTTTATCTTCAGTCTGATTTCTTCAATTTTTCAAATAGATCCACAATGCATTCATCACACCATGAGCAGGAATTTCAGCCTGAGCATCACCAGTTATATAAGTTCTGGCCTGAGTAAACTGATTTCCCCTGATTTCAGTCATGTGAAGCAGTGGGTGGAAAGGTCACCCTCATTAGTGGGGAGAGATGCTGCTGCCCTGGTGGCCAACTGGCTTTGCACCTTTTTAGTTATTGATCTGGGAGCATACAGGAGCAGGCAATGGCTGTAGGGCACAGCTCAGCTCTCTCTTCTTGAGGCTCTCCCAGGAAAGCTATCAAAGGTTTCCTTCTACATCCTGTAACTCTGCTATGGGTAATTAAGATTAGGCAAGTAAAATACCTTAAAATGAAAGATTCAGATTACTAATTCCTCCTGAAAAAAAGCTTTTTGCACAACAAATTCAGGGAAAATTTTCTGGGCATATCGGAATCCCACCAGGTTAAAGTGACTCAACACTTAGTTTTCGGAAAGCAAAATCCCTCTGCATGCAAAGCCAAGGAAAATGTTTAACATCCATCATTTTCTTGTGTACTCTTTGTTCCTGACCTTGAATAGCTGATCCAGAGCCAATGTGGGATTTGGACCATAATGCCAAGAAAACTTCAGAGACAGTCAACACCATTTCTTCTAGAGGGGTCATGCTATTCCCTGGAGTCTTGCCAATGAAAATGATAGGGATAAATTAAAAAATGAAATTGAGGAACATCTTCAGCATCCAAAGAAAATTCAGTTCATGACAGAAGCAGGAGGTAAAGCATTAGCAATTGTTGAAACAGAAGTGCATACTAATAGTGTAGGGTTTTTTCTAAGATACCATAAGTTTCAGAAATGGGGCTGAATTATTAAGCTGTTGAAAACATGACTGTTAGTGAGAGAAGGAGAGAGAGGGAGAGAGAAAGTAACTACTGTTTGGGGAACATTTAGGAAATTAGTGAGTTAATTTTCTAGATCACCTGCTCAGACAGCCTGAATACTACATTCTAGTGTAGAAACTCACATTCAACTTTTTCCTCTTAGGTTGGAGAAAGATGACTGATTTTTTCCCCAAAGGAAGGAAAGGTATAAAGACAGCTGCTTGGGAAACTCTACCCTTCCTGAGTAGTTTCTCACAGGCTGCCTGAGCCCTAGTCCTGCTGACTGTCAGAGGTCACAGTACAACACAGGGAGGAGAATCCAGCAGGAGAAAAGTGAAGACCCTCCAAAACAGCACATTGGTCTGTGCAACAAGCAGCCATGGGCAATCATCCTTCATGGCCAGTTTGGGGCAGGCAGGAATGCCTTGTTTTAAGGCAGGCTTGGAAAAAAATATCTTGCTCTCAATGCAGACTCTTAGGTTAGGTTCCTGCATGACAAAGCACAATGTTAAATGGTCTGCGCCCATTATGACGGCAAGAACCACTTAAAGTAAAACAATATGGAAAGTGCACCAAACTTCATAATATTCTGTTGGATTCAAATCTACTCTAATTTTGGTAAAAGAACCATGAGCAGGAATCTGGAGACACACACAAGTAGAAGAAACAGCAGTGTGGAAACAAGCCTATAACTCCTTGATCCCATGGGATGCTGGGCCATACTCACCATGTTGTAAGGTCAAATTGGCTTGCAACTTATCATGAGATGTATACAGGAACAAACTGAAAGCCAAACAGAAGGAAGTCATTGAAAACAGAGTCTTAACATATTTTGGGTAGTCTCTGAAAGAAATTACTTGAATTTTTTCTAATATGAATACTTTAATGCTTTCTATTTTCTTAAGAATTCTTTATTATTTCCTTACCCTTTTCTTCTGTTACTTTTTCTTTCCTTTTCTTTTATTTTACCCATTGTTTATAATTGTAATAGGCCAGCTTGTGGAGGGTTAGTACAAAATGGATAAGTTAAATTTTTGTTTAAATTTTTCCTTTTATTTATTAGTGAACCAAACAGTGATTTGCATAGAAGCTTTCCAACATAGGTGCCTTGAGCTGATTAGCACTTTATTCTGCTTTCATAAAGCAGAAAGTCTACTCGTTGTTTTCCTGTCTGGGTTTCACAAACAAACAAACAAACGAACAACAAAAACCCCAAAACAACAACAAAACAAATTTTCTGTACAGAAACTTCAAGATTTATAAAATTTTGTCCCAGTGAGAATTGATGATTGCTTTTAAAAGTATTTCTTAAAGTGGCTATTCTTTTTAAAGAGAAACCAGTGTCAGAGTTCTGTGAATGAAAAAATGAGCTCTCCAAAATGACTGATGGTGTTGTCTCACTTCTCCTAATTGATTGGTACTTTGGTTCTGAAACCTTGGCCCACAGACCATCTGTGTCCTGCAGAGAACTTGCTAGTAGAGCCTTTAGAGAGGAGCTAGATACCATAATGATAGTTTCTCTGTATGATTACTGCTGTTAAATCATCCTAAAAGCAGTTAAATATTAATGAAACCTTTTGCTAATCAGACTTCTTCTAGGAAAGCAATTCTAAGTGGGAAAATTCTTTTTGCTTCTGAAGATGTTCTCCTTTTTAACACACGCAAATATATAACGCAAATTAATAACTTATTTATAAAGCCCTATTGGCATGGCTGAGGTGCTTGGGGTACTATACAACACCATCAAAACAGATTCAAAACAAAATGAGCAAAAGTTCACCCTCATTAGAGTCAAGCTAAACACAAGAAAAATTGCACGCAAGAAAACAGGATCTGCTTCTCTAATCACACAGTCTCAACATTTGTATTCTTGAAATGATGCTAGGGTTTGAAATACGTCAGCATAAGCCTCAAAGAAAGTACAAATAAGGGTGAAGTCCCTTTGTTCTTCCATAAATTTTCATTTCACATATTCTCCTCTGGTATCCTCACATGTTATCCTCACTCACCTGTTTCAAACCTTATGCATAAAGAACAACCTGTAAGGTGTTCTGCATTGCCAAAGCTCTGCATGCTGCTCCCTAGAACCTTCCCCAAATGAACTGGCAGAATAAAAGGTGCTCCAGGAGCTTTGCAGTAAATGTTCTAAAATGTAACCTGCTATGTACTGGGGGAAGTTATAAAGCAATATGGCCTTTGCCACCCTTGCAAATGAGAACTGTGGGGCAAAGTTCCCTACTTGCCAGCTCTGTGGGCAGGGGAAAATCATATTAGTATAAAGATCACTTTTACAGGCAGCCACAAGAACATGAATTTCAGTACCACCTGTCACAAACCTTGGAAAAAAGACCTATAAATTAACTCATGGACACATACATATTTAATCATTCAAATGCACTTTAAAAAGTATTTTTTAACTTCCATCTGATCCACAGTGCAGAGAAACATCAGAAATTTTTTTCTGCCATATAACCAGGTACCATTTCCACAATGCAGATTTTCACATATATAGATTGGCTGTACCAAACAAATTAATTTGTTCTTCTTCTCTCTTAGACACCTGCCAAACTCACTCTTTACAAATAGGTTAAACAAGTTATGGGGGATAAATACAGGAAACAAAAACAAGAGAAAATATACAGTGAAAGTTAGGCTGCCATTAGCAGCAGTTCTTTTTTATAAAGCCCAGGTCTTAAACTATAGAAAGGGGGAAAACAGATTAAAGCTGTTGCTTTGATGCCTTAATACAGTATCTATTTAATTTGAGATTACACAGCTCATAAGGAATAAACCCCTAAACAGGTCCTTCAACAGCCATCAAAAATATCACAGTGTAATTTGCAGAATTCACTCTCCAGAGTCTGATTTTAGAAATACATCAGTGCATAGATGATTTAAGAGAGCAAAAGCTGATTTTTGGGTATGTATCTCAAGGTGCAACATTTGCTCTAGGCAATAAGTTTCAAGGAAGCTCAGGTGGAACTGAGGACAAGTATTAATGGTGGAAGTTCAAAGGCATGGGTGGGAGCAGCAAGGATGGATAGGCACAGGATTCTAATGTGCAGTGAGACTGATGAGGGATGCGTGATCCTGTCCATCTGTACCTTGAGAACTTCTATCCTAATATATCACCTGACTAATTAAACAGTGTTTCACTCAGAGGAGTCCACATTAGGCCGGACTTCAGTATGGAGGCCAGACCAATTGTCCATTAAAATCTCATGAGAAAGCACCACAGAAGAGTTTTGGCTTTTACACTATTGTATCGCTGTTACAGAACACACATCACACTCAGTCCCAGCTATATACATGCCAAGACATACAGACCTGTGGCAGGAGAATGCGGTTTTCCTGATCCACCTTCCTGAATTTCATTTTCTTTTACAAGAAAAGTGATGCTGAGCATTTCACAGCATTTGTCTTCTAAAAAAGAAAAAAAAAAGGAGAGCCTTATAAAACTGAGCATTTCCACTTTTTGTTTTGGCTGGCATTTTGATGTAGAGTCTGACTTCTGGTGCTTGGGAATTCTGCAGTTCTGAAAATATTTAATTGTATGGGAGAAAATTGCAAACTCTTGAATCATCTATTAGATTGTATAACTGCTTCTCAAAAGTAGTAGAAGCAAATATAAAATCATCAGAATTCACATATAAGGAAGAAAACACTGGGTAGGAAAAATTATTCAACAACCAACTAAAACTTATGGTTAAATATTTCTTTCTCTTAAAGTCAACTCTTGTCATACTCTAGTCCATAGAATGTTCTCCGTGGAAAACAAAAAGTAATAAAAAACCCAGTTGTTTACTTTTTGATTGTTTTTAACTTTTCAGAACCTTTTGCCTAAGTAAAACTTGTTTGTCATTAAAAGCTGACAGCTTCAAAAATTGTCTTTGGATTAACACAAAACAAAGCAATTTTCTTTGTCCAATCATCTAGCATGAGTTCAAATTTAGGAAGCCAAAGTCTGTGATTTGCATAGAGTATATTTAAACAAAGGTCTAGGGGATCCACATGTACTGTACAATCTTCAACTCCTTCTTGTGTGAAATGAGTTTATGCAAGCCTGGTTCACTGAACAAGCCTATTCAGTTTTGTTAGTCCCTTGAATTAGTTTCTAGGTCAACAAAGCACTAAGAACATTAGAAAACCAAAACAAAGTAACAATGACAAAAAAGAATCTAGACAAACAAACCCCCCCCCCGAAAACCTCTAGAGCCTAAAAGACTACATCCTTGTTATGCAAGTCTTCCTGCTCACACACTTCAAGTTAAAACACCTCCTTTGAAGAACAGAAATGGGATTGCTCAAAGTTAAGTACATGAAAAAGAGGAATCAAGGCTAATGACTGTTTTGCCCAGTGGAAAACTCTCCAAGTAGTATTATTTCAGCTCCTATAAATATCCTAATAGGATTTTCATGCTGCATTGGAAAATTCCACAGCAGCAACTCAGTCTGTTTTATATGTAATTCATTCCCCTCTTTCTGTTATGCCTGGTCATTTTTTTATATACAAACATAATACACAGTTTACCAAAACATTTGGTAATTGTCTGAGTGAATCAAACAGTTGTAAAACCTGCATCATGCAAAAGCTCAAGGCAACACTAAATTTTGTCCTGCTCATGATCATTTTTAATGCTGCCTGTATACTTGTGTAAGTCACAGACAGCCAGCACCACATAGCAGACAAATATAAAGTCATTTTCTCTTTTCACTGTATTATTGAAATCAGTGAAGCATAAGGAAAAGAAAAATCAGAAAGAAAAGTCCTTCCTATTTCCATAGGAGCATCAGGCTACAGTTGTATGTTTATTTTTGAAAAATGAAATGAGTCTGTTCAGCTGCTTTGTTTATAAATGCATTTCTTGTTTTTCCTAAGTTTAATACAATTTAGGAAAATCCAGAGAGATTATTTAGATGGTGCACTTGATGCACCTTGGCCCTAACAAGGTATCATAAAAAAAACAAAACCTGGAAGACAGTCTGGCTGTGGACTGCCTCAGCAGGGTCACCTTCATCCACCTACATCTTCATCTTCATCATACCCCCTATTTAACCAGACACCTACCACCAATGAATAGACAACAGCAGACATAGGGGTACATGTGAAAGTCCTGCCTCCCATTCAAAGTCAAATAATTTGCTACCTGGTGGGACACAGACCTTTCAATTCTCTGAGGGCAGATACCAAAGTAGACAGAAAGGATCTTCTTAAAAAATAATTTCCTGGGGCACAATGATACCATTTTTTTGGAGCTTTTGACAGGGCTACAGTATTTTCTAGGAAAGAAGAGTTTCAAAGTGTGCAGCTTCCACTGTAGGACAAATCCATCCTAGTCAATACTTGGGTACTGAATATCACAGTTACCTTGCAGTTTAAGTTTGCAAGTTGTTTCTAGCTGATACTGAACTGAAAGCTTTTACTGCTTCAAAAGTGTTGCCAGGCACCAGCCTGGATTTAGTTGCTTTCAGATATAATGTCTTTGTCTCCTAAGGCAGGGTCCTACATAAAGGATTTTTGAGATGTTGAGGTTTAAAACTATGGAGGATTCAAACAGATCACTGCTAAAAGTGAACCCATTTTACAAGGAGTCCTTACCTGTCCTACTTCCAACATGTAGAGAATTATAAAACTGGGATGTGTCCTTTAGCATCTCTGTGCCTTCATTTCCCTTCAGAGGATGGCAGCCAAAATCTTCAGCCGCTGTGGTACAGCACAGATTGTGCAGCCTGTCCTCGCCAGACTTCAGGAACACTTCTCAAGGTGACTGCCCTCATTCATACATCTGGGGTTTTCACAATCAGGATCCTGGAATGAAAGCCAACACATTATTGTCAGTGCAATAGATTAAAATGCTGATGCTGCAGAAAGAAATAAGGGTAGAAGGTTCTGGATTCACAGACTCATTCAAAAGCAATATAAAATAAGTAGGGAAAATGACTATGTGGTACTTAAGCACAGTGGTGCCCATACTGAGAAAAAAGAGCAACTGTTTCTTTCTGCTGATTTAGAGGGAGGCTGCCAAGGCACATCCAGTAAATAACTATTGTTCAGAGTCATCTGAACAAAGTTCTCTAAAAGCTGAGTTTGATATACAGGAGAAACACTCAACTGACTCTTACTATAATAAGAATTGACTGCAGAGGAACGGACTTCATACAGAAACGAGGGCTGTATTTTGAGTCAGGGAAAGCTTTTTTATTCTGTTCATTGAAGCCCTGGGCTTTATTCTAACGGAATTTACTTTTCCAGATGGCTCAGAATGCTGACTGTCCTTGCAGCCTGTTCAGGGGCCAGGTAATGGGCAGTGGTGCTGCAGAAACACAAAACAACTTCAAAGTTTCCTGACAAACATGACTAAGAGGAGGACGAGAAACAGAGTCTACTCAAGAGCCAAGTCTGCAAACAGCTAAAAATCAATCTGAAGGGGGATGCTGTGCCTGTGAAAGTGAAGAGGGAGCATGTGCAAAGCAGTTAAAACAGTTATGGGTTTTTGTTTTGTAGTTAACTTGGTGTTAAAAAACACACAGAATTATTTTTAGCTCTTAGAAAACCCCAGCAAAATGCTCCAGGCAGCTGCTATCTCTTGTCTTGAGTAAACATTTGGTTTTTGTCAGTTTGATGTTCAGTCATAAGAATGTGGAACTTTCCCTTTCCCTTTTAACTTTCCTTGTCCTTGTCCTTGTTTGTGTTGTTTCCCAACTTTCTGGAGCCTGGTTTTTAAGAGGAGGAGATGCCCCAGAACCATTTCCCAATTCATAGGTGTCTGAGATGGTCAAATGTCTGATGCACCTGATTATCTGTCTAAAAGCTGAGTTTGATTTCTCACATAAGAAAAAAAAAAAAAAAGAGACAGGGAGAATATAGGGGAGGTCATGCATGGAGTTTTAATTTTGTTTGCCTCCTTCTCCCCACACAGATTTTCTCCGTCCTAATAGTAGCACCCATTAGGTTGCAGTAATTTCATTGTCCCTTGATGTCAAGGTGAAAAAATAGGAAGTATGGCGGATTTGCATGTTGTTCACATTCATTCCCTGCTCCTTACTGGCATATTCCAAATAATATAAAATGAGTCAGCCAATTTGGAGTAGAGCACAGATCACAAGATGTTGAGGATGGTGTCATACTCCAGATTCTGGGAAATAGTCATCCAAGGTCCATTCTGGATTGTTACCACAATCAAACACTGCCATGGGTTGACACTGAGGAAATTAAAGAAAGAATTTCCTTCACTGGAATTGATGAGGACTCCTTACAAAACCTTGTAATTGTAACTTCTGCAAGCAATGGTGAACAGAATGCAAGTGTTACTTCCTATGCCTTCCTGGGTGTCAGAAATGTGGACTGTATATTCTGATGGATTTCAGGATAATTGACATTCTAGTGTGTCACCAGCTCAACAACTGAGATACAGCTAGATTTTTCAGCCATTTATTTGCACTAAGGTTGAGTCCAGGACCTGCCACATTTCTGATACTTCTCACACCCGAAAGCTGGAAGCCTTGCTAACTCTCAGAGTGTCATATCCTGGGGGCATTCAGCATATGGCTCCAAGTAAAAATAAAATTACATTTCTTTTTGGGGTCAGGGATGGGAGGAAGTACAGAGCAAATGGTTGTGATATGGGTAAAATTTGCAGTCTTTCCTCCATTTTTTGGTGTGCTAGAGCCAGCCAGCAGTATGTGTCTGGAACAACATGACCAGAAGGATTGCTGACCTCAGCAGCAAGGAGCAAGCTCATTAAGGCACACAAACCTCCTTTTTCTGGGATGGTACAATGTGCTGTTGACTCACATGGGCCATACAGTCTAATCCTAAATTATTACAAATGACCCAGATTCTGGCACTCTGCCTTCTGCTGATTAACATCTTACCCTGCAAGCAATTTAGTCTAGCTTAAGTGGGGCTGCATCTCCAAATTAATTTTCAGTATAAGGATGAAAGCATCATGCCATATAAATCTTAAGCCTGGTTCCAACAGATCCAGATAGGAATTATAACATGCACCAGAAGGAATAAAAATAAATTTGCTCTGGGTTCAGAGCAGTCTGGTAAAAAAAAGAAAAAAGAGAATGAATTCACAATCCTTGATTATATAAATAGCACCTGTTTTGACAAATTTTGTATGCTTATTTTCTGAATTAGCATGCTTCCAAAGTACCACTTTTTTTCATAACATAAATGACAGCATTGACAAAAAAAAAAAAAACCAAAACCACAGGCTGTTACTATATATATGTTTATAACCTATAAGCTTTGCCAGCAAGAAACTGTTGTATTCATCCAGTAATTCATCCATAACCTGTGCACACTTGCTTGGTCTTCAGCCATAGTGCAGCACACAAATATCTGCTTATTGGGTCTCAAAAGGCTGTGATCCACAGCACGAGTATCAGATGTAGATAATGGGCCCAGTGCTGTGAGATCTTCATTAATGACCTAGTCACTGCCACAGAGTGAACCTTCAGCAAGTTTTCAGACAATGTAAAACTAGGAGGAGTGGCTGATACCCCAGATGTCATGCAGTCATCCAGAGGGACCTCAACAGCTGGAGAAGTGAGATTATGAGAATTTCATGCTGTTCAGTGAGGGAAGTGCAAAGGAACAACCCCAACACCAGCACAGGCCGAGGGGCGACTGCTCTGGAAAGCAGTTTGGCAGAGAAGGCCCGGGGAGGCCAGGACACCAGGTTGGAGGCCCAGGTTGGACACCAGGCAGGACAGGAACAGCACTGTGCCCTTGCCACTAAGAAGGTGAGAGGTATCCTGGGCTGCATTGGGCAGAGGAATGCCAGCTGGTGGAGGCATGTGGTTCTTCCTCTTTAGTCACTGCTGTCTGCTGTGCAAATGTGACGCTGGAAATACTGGAGAATCATCCAGTGGACAAAACTTATGGGCAAAACTTATTAAGGGGTTGCTGCATCTTATATGCAATAAGAGAATAAGAGAACTGTGACTGGCCAGCGTGGAGAAGAGACAGTGCAGGGAGTCTTATCAGCATACATAAATATCTGATGGGAGAGAATCAGGAGTCAGAAAGATTCTTCTTATGAGTGCTCAGTGACAAGACAAAAGGCAATAAGCAGAAAATGAAATACAAGGAAATCCCCCTGAAACATATGAAAAAACTATTTTACTGTGGGGATAGTCAGACACTGGCATGGATTACCCAGAGAGAATGTGGAGTCTCCATACTCGGAGATATCCAAAACCCAAGTGGGCATAGACCTGAGCAACCCTCTGTAGCTGACCTTACATGTGACAAGGGGTTCCACTAAAGAATTTTCAGAGGTTCTTTCCAACCTCAACTCTTCTGTGATTGAACAATACTTTTCACACTACACCAGAAATATTGGAGCAGTATTCTTTCAGCTGGTTTGTATTTGCACTTCTGACGTGTCAAATGCCAGACACATTTTTTGCTCTTAGTGTTCAAACTAATTATTCACTAGTACTCTTTAGGGTTTGGGTAGCTTTAACCATATTTAGGCTTTAATGACCAAGAATCAAGATGCCACCTTCTGTGCAGGGCAGCACTGAAAGACTCACACTTAGAAATGCCCCAGCAGGGTGGATTTAAACAAGCTCTTTCCCTAGTAAGACCATCACAGCCACTTACAAAATGAAGTGATTTAACTCATGTGTGTCTGGCCAGGATTTTCAAAGAGGCTTACAAATTAGACATCACACTTAGTCTGCAATTTTTAGCAAGACCCTAAGCAAAACCTGTAAGGCCCAAAGGAAGCATGGTAAGCATTTTGATTGCACACTCCTGAAAATGAACAGGGCTGAGAACCACACCTCTGTAATGTTGAAGCATGAGGCACAGGAAAGATGGGGAACACAAGTCCATTTTTGGCACCTAGCTTGTTTTCCAAACATCTAAAAAACATTTGAAAATTGTCATGACCTACTTAGAAAAGTGAACAGGCTGGGAAAAGCAAGTATAAGCAAAATATTTGTAAAATTAGGACAAAACATACATAAGTAAAACTTGCAAAAATTCTTTGTAAAGCTCCTTACAACTCATTTAAAGTTTTGCTCATCCACTGAAGTCAAGACAAGAGCATTACAGATTATTATTCTATTCAACCAAACCAGATGGGATTCATCCATTGCTACAATTCCAACTTCCCAAAGTATATTTTTCTCTTCTCTCTAATCCCTCTTTCTCTGACATTAATGCAAGAGTCATTGTAATGGGTAGGCTTGTTATGAAGAACTCAATAGTAATAAAAAAATACAAAAATTGCTGTTCTTGTATTCCTCTTGTTGTTGAAGAATAAAATTATACTGTAAATTAAATCTGATTTTATGACATTTTGCATGCATATAGATCTTCATGTGAACTCAGGGGAGCATACTTTATTTGAGCTCTGTATTCCTTATACTTTTTAATTAATTTTTCTTTGTAATTCAGAATAAGTTTCTAATGGATTCGTGGAACAATATGGGGTCACTTGGGGGTGATTTTAATACCTGCAATTCCCATGGTTATTAATCAAAGACTTTTTAGCCTTTTAGATAAATTATCTGCCTTCTGTTTAGAAGATTGAGATTAAGCATGTGAGAGAAATTGTCCCTACTGACACAAAGGAAAAAAAGTCATGAAAATACAAAATGCAACATTTTTGGTATCTAACAAAAATAGAGAAAATGCTGCAGATTTTCAATTTTATTTCATCTAAAATTGCTATAAAAATAGCAATCAATCTGAAAAGGGGTGATTTTCATTTATTGCCTATAAATCTCAGAAGCTGTCAGATCCAGTAAAACTTTTTTTACTTGAGGATTTACCATTTGCAACTG